TGAAATAGGAGAATTGGATCTCCAATCACCCCAGTCCACTCCGTATTTGTCCACAATCAGCTTTCTCCACCAAGCATTTCTTTCATTTGCAAATCTCCAAAGCCATTTACACAGGAGGGCAGAATTGAATTTCTTCAATTTTCTTATTCCCAACCCTCCAACTTTCTTAGGAAGACACACTTGATCCYAGTTTACAACATGAACCTTCTTCTCCTCCTCCTCCCAACCTCTACAGAGAAAGTTTTTCTGTAGTTGCTCCACTATGTTAGCCACTTTGGAAGAAATAGGAAATAGGGAGAGGTAGTACGTAGGTAAATTAGAAAGAGTACCCTTAATTAAGATCACTCTCCCCCCCAAAAGAAAGGTATTTAGCTTTCCAAGAAGCCAATTTCTTCTCCATTCTTTCAACCACTGGATTCCAAATCTGAGCGGAAGTATATTTAGCTCCTAGAGGGAGCCCCAAGTACTTGACCGGAAGATGGGCAGTCTGACAAGCCATAACTTCTGCACAAACTTCTAGATTTGTAACAAGACCTACAGGGATAATCTGAGATTTACTCAAATTAACYTTAAGGCCARACACCAMCTCAAACCAACTCAAAATTCCAAGCACCACCTCYAGTTGATTAGGAGAAGCATCAACAAAGCATAAGGTGTCATCAGCAAATTGAAAAATATTGACTTTTTTCTTTCCCCGGAGCAATTGCAAAGCCCATTCTCAGCAGCCTTCTTGCTAAAGATAGATAAAATTTCCATGACACAAATGAAGAGTAGGGGAGAGAGAGGGTCACCTTGCCTCAAACCTCTTGAACTTCCAAAAAACCCCGTCGTTTGCCCATTAATTAAGATGGAGAACTTAGGAGTCTTAACACAAATTCTGATTCAGTTTCTCCAAAGCTGCCCAAAATTCATTTTCTCCAAAGCCAGATCCAAGCAGTGCCAGTTAACATGATCATAAGCTTTTTCAATATCCAGTTTACACAAAACACCTGGTGTCCCTTCTCTTCTTCTAGACTCCAACAATTCATTAGCAATGAGAACAGAGTCAAAACCATCTGTCTACCTGGGACAAAAGCACTTCGGTTACAAGAGATAACACTGCCTAACACACACTTCATTCTTTCAGCCAAAACCTTAGCCAAGATTTTGTAGAAACTGTGCAAGAGACTAATGGGCTTGAAGTCCTTTATATTGACAACCCCCTCAATTTTTGGAATAAGAGTGATGCAAGTTGCATTCAGACTTCTCTAAAAGGAGGCATTAGTGTGAAATGCCCGAAGCACCTGCATCAGATCATTCCTCACAATATCCCAACATTTTAAATAGAATAGATTAAAGAACCCATTAGGACCCGGTGATTTATCATTTTCTAGCTTCTTTTCTGCACCCTTAATTTCCTCTTCTGAGAATGGTCTCTCTAACCAGATTTTTTGCTCTTCATTTAACTTGTTAAATTGGAGCTCGGAGGGAAAAGGTCTCTGAACCCACTTCTCTTTATAAAGGTTCTTATAGAAAGAAGTAGCTATAGATTTGACTTCAGAACTAGACTCACCACACCTGTCCTCCCACGCCAGCTTGCTGATTGAAGAGAACCTAGCACGAGCATTTGCCATTTTGTGAAAGAACTTTGTATTTTTATCCCCCTCTTTAAGCCAAATGGATTTATCTTTTTGTCTCCACTTCCTCTCTTCCTCAACTGCCATCTTATCATATATGAATTTTGCAATTGACCTCTTAAGTCTCGGATCTTCAGAAAAGGGACCCACCTCTTCAGCTCTATCAATCTCTACAATGGTGCTCAACAAAGCCTTCTTATCAGTAACCCACTTCATATTCTTCTCCTTACTCCAAATTTTTAGTTTAYCCTTGACAGCCTTTAATTTTGATGCCATAACGAAAGAACTAGAGTCGTCCACTTGCAACTCATTCCACACAAAGTTGATTAAGGGGATAAGATTTTCCTCCTCAAACCAAGCATTTTCAAACTTAAACGGGGATTTGACTGTCTCACGAAGACCACAAACAAGTTGAATAAAGCTATGGTCGGACATCGGTCTAGGAAGGGTAAGCTGTCTGAAATCAGGAAAGAATTCATCCCAGTTTGAAGAAACCAAGAATCTGTCCAGCCTAACCAGGGTCGGGACAGATTGGTTATTGGTCCAAGTGAATCTATTACCCTGAATTGGGATGTCCATTAATTCCATACTGTTTATGAAGTCAGCAAACATGTTCATCGAACCAATTCTTCTACCCTCTGTATTCTTCTCATCCACCGAAATAGTTGCATTAAAATCACCCCCAATTACTTCACTCCTCCCACCTCCTCCCAACATCTACTTACCCATTTTTCCACTTCTTGAAAACTTGCCCTCCACTGAAATCTTCCCACCAAGCAATCTCTCAGGAAACTCCTTCTGGCCTCTATGCCTTGGGACTCTGTAAATATCATTTGTCTGTCCTCCACCTTCTTGATTTCAGACTACCCAAAATTCGGCCAAACTCCAGTCGTAACCGCCTTACTGTAAGAGAAGTTCGGTTTCCTCCTCGCCCCCTTCTCTACACCACTGTACCAATTCCTAGCTTCTCATCTCCTTCCACCTCTCTGATCTTTCCAAAGAGATCTACCTCGAAACATCTTCACCCCAAGCACTCAACCTCGAAACATCATTTCAGTTGTTGAACCAAGTGATGCACTATATATTTGGGGAACATAGATTCACAATCATAATACTTAGGTATCCCCCTCTATTAGAACCAGAATAAACACTCTTCTCTTACCTTCCTTTTGGATAATTTAAATGGAGAAGTACAGACAGGCCCATTGCAGATTTCTGAATCCTATTGCAGAACTATAAACATTCAAAATGTCCAAAACCCTCACTCTACACACCAATGCCCGCCCGTGAATTGGTATCAATTCCAAATTGGCACCTACCCCAAATGTACTTTGGGTCTAAAAATTCTGACCCTAGGCTGAACCGTCATTTTCCCTAATTTAAAAGCTAAGTAAGTGAAAGGATTTCACTATTTCTATGGCCAGAGTAAACACCCTTATTTAGCCTGTTCTCCAAGCTTCACCCATTCATTATATGAATGTCATTAAGTTCCCTCAAAAAACTTTAAATGAAATCGAGAAAATCAAAAGAAACTTCTTGTCTCTGAGTTTTGCTTCTCTTTTCCAGTCTTCTTGGATTCAATGTTTGAATGATTTAAAACAGCAATTGAATGATAAAAATCTTTTCTTGCGGACGCTAGCTTGGATAACTATTTCCTCCTATTATACCTGGTATGACCGAAATGAAAAGCTCTTCGATCAAAATAACTTATCCACTACTCTTATTCATCCAATTTTCTCATTTCTTATACCTTAATTGGTTTTTATTTAATTTAAATAACTAGTGCTTTCTGCTTGTTATTGGTCTAAATGGTTGGACCATTTAACCTATCACCTGGAGCCTTGAACCAGAGACGTAAGTAATTAGACCCGATAAAATCGGATCCATATTTTATGCACTTTGGATCATCCAACCGAAATAATCCGAATTCAAATGGTCCAATTTTGATACTGGATTCCGGAAAGTGATAATCAATCACCTAGTATTCATCGAAATTCACGTAGGGGTTTTAACTGGTCAAATTTCTTCAGGTATCCGAAGAAATCGGCTTCATGCCCGTTTGAACACCATTCGAACAGCCTTGCGTCGGAACATGTCCATGCTTCTGTGCGTTATTTCATCGGAACATCTCCATGATTCCGGAAAGTGATAATCAATCAGCTGGTATTCATCGAAATTCACCTAGGGGTTTTGACTGGTCAAAGCTCTTCGGGTATCCGAAGAAATCGGCTTCAGGCCCGTTTGAACACCATTCGAACAGCCTTGCATCGGAAACATCTCCATGCTTCTGTGCGTTATTTCATCGGGAACGGGTCTGACTGAATCCGGAAGGGTGGTGGGTCCCAGGAGGTCGCCCACCATGTGATCGATCCAAGTCGTCACCGTCGAATTCGAGTTTGTTGCCACGTTGTTGCTGTTAAAACTTGACAACTTGGGGCCCGTTTGGTGCATTTTTTTATACGGTCTTTCGACTGTTTACAAGTCGGGCAGATCAAATTTTGGTCTACTCCTATTTTGTTCATGGAAGATCTAGTGCTAAAGCACCGAAAAGACACGAAAAGCCTATTTTAGGTTGATTACGGGAAGTTACAATTGAAATTTTTCGGGCATTTTATTTTCCCGTGGAAAGACAGAGAAAGATGTAATAGTGCCAAACTAGCTTCAAGCTATTCAGATTTTCATATAAAAGCTCAATATATCTTTTAACTGTCAGTATTACTAAAAAATCTTTTAAAAAAGATGTGTCAAATAGGCCCTTGAATTCTCTCAAACCTAACGCCACGGAGACCGAATCTCCTACTAACAAAGGGCGTCTCACATCGACCTCACAAACACAACTTACCATAGATTGGAATTTGGAAGAAACCGAATTCAGTAAGAGCAAAGTCCAGCATAACCTTGCATTGAAAATATTTTCCCATAAAATAAAGGACAGAGGTATGGAGATATTCCCGATGAAAGGTTGTAAAGGCTATTCGAATAATGTTCGAACGGGCGTTGCTATGACCGAAGCCGATCTCAGATTGGAAACATCTCGTACTTATACGTTGTTAATCACGGAATCACGGAAACATAGTGAAATGCGCATATGAGGTCGGTGCGAGGCTCCTTCAGTGAGCAGTTCCCAATTCAGCGCGACGTCCCGTACATTTCATTTTGCATACGCAATCTCCGCATGCAGTAAATAATCTAGAGTGCGCATCGTTAGTTCGTTAACCACAAAAACAAAAGGGATAAAATGCGCTCCCAGTTACTCAGATTCCGTCTTGACTTGCGTGCCTTCCGAAGACATCTAAACGCCGTTGTCGCCGCGTGTGCTCCTACCCGTCATCGCGCGCAGCTGTGGTGGGGCCCACTTGTTTCAGGTGTGTAATATCCAATGTTCCTCGTCGTTTACCTTATTTTTGTAAGAACTTCCAACGTTCGCCACGTTAGCTTGACCCATTATCAAAAGGCGCTCTCCGTAGAAAAGCGTACTTTAAACATTAAATAAATATAATTTACTAGCTTGCGCCCACAGTTGCCGCTATACGGCGCCCACGGTTCGCCAACTGATCGGAGGTTAAGTGCCCTGCTCAGACATCTCACAGATCATTCTGTTTCGTCCATGGAGTCCCAAAACCCCAATCACGCCATCTCACCCTCTGCAACCACGGCCTCTAATGGCGATTCTGTCTTCGCTAACATTGCTAAAGCTCCCGAAGATCCGATCTTAGGGGTAATCTCTTCTACTTGCCTGATTTTATCGATGTTCTGGGATGATTTTTGGTTCTACTGTTTCTTCTTTTCTGCCCCCTTTTTTTTTTAATTTACAATTTTCCCCTTCGAAGATTGTTCTGCTTCTGCGAGTTTTTGCCTATTTTGCTCAGCGCCACGTTCACTGATTCGTTTTAGCTGATTGTTGTTGAACCATATAATAATGATTGGTGGGTTCTTGTATCATTTGGACCGCTTTCTAGTATTAGTTTATCTTTCGTTGGTTATGCACTGTAGTTGATGGGGATAGTGTTATTAAGAATTACATAAATTTGTCTCCTTCTGTGGCAGAGGAAGTGATGGATCAGGAAGAGAAGAAGCGAGATCTACTCATTAGATTCTCGACCCCCCAAATAAAGAAAAAGAATATAAAGAACCTAGGAACCGATAAGACAAAAACTGAATCTAATGTCTGGTACTATCAATGATTGGATAAAATAACCAATGTGATTCAAAACTCGTATTTGGTTGATAAGAGTAGGAGATCGGCATGGCTTAGTTGGGACCTGGGACTATTAAATTTTACATCTTAAATTCGGCCTTGACAATAGGGATCAAAATTACTTTACCAAGAGAAGCACTGTTCTTTTTCTTTTCTTTTTCTCGTTGGTGGATAAGTTTGCTTAGCGTTATCCTCAGAAAACATGGAAAGTGCATTTAAAAAGTTGCGCATGCATTATTTTTATCATCCCTAATCTTGAAACTCTTTGAATATGTTAATGATCAAAAAGGTAAAAAAACTCATTGAAAATATTTAAAGGTTAAAATGAAAAAGAAAAAGCCTTCAAAAGATCTCTGATGTGTTTAAATGGAATTTATAACATTGAATGAGATTTGATACATTTTCCGGGGAAAGAAGGGTAAAACGCTCTTCCCCTGATCATCTTCTAGAGTTGTTATATAGCAACTATATTATTGATATTGGCTATTTTAATTGTGAACTCAAAGTGATGACAGACTGATAATATTCTTTTCCTGTTTTTCTTTTCTTTTTCTTTTTTTGTTCTTGGCATATAAATTAAAGGTGCTGAAGGTGAGAAGTAATAAGAATCTAATCAGGTCGGAAATTTTAAGAATATAATCTAAAGGAATTTTTTAATTATGTAAATTCCTATCTTGACTATTTATGATGTTTCTGACTTGCTGTACTCATCCAAAAGGTTACAAATGCAAGAAATTAATAGCTTTCTGTATTGTTACTACCAGTTATTTCCCTTGAATTTTCACATTGTCTGTTGACTCTGTTCAAGTCCATTAGTCCACCCACTTCAGGAAGGATTTTTCAATAGATAGGGTTCCAGAAGTATTTTTATAAAAGTGTTTCTACTTTACGCTTAAGTAGATAAATCATAAACTGATATGTGAGCATGCCAATTTTGGATACGTAAAACAATGTTGTTTTATGATTTTATGTGATCTATTCTCTGCATTGAATGAAATATTCAGATTTCCTATATTTGAACTCATTTTCAACTTGTTAACCAAGGACATGGAAATTCAATGTACATGGATAAAGAGAAGTGCAAATGCATTGGCTGACGGTCTAGCTAGGCAAGGAGTAAATGGAGATACATTATTCTGGGCTGTTTTGTAATCACTGCATGGTCAAAAAGTCACTTGGGTAGCTGGAGTTAAGACTTTTTAGCTCCATCCCTTTGTAAACCTGATTTTTATCACTAATAAAATTTCACTGTTACTGATAAAAAAAAAAAAAAAACTCATTTTCAACTTCTAACTATAGACCTGACCTCCTGGCATTCCAAAGAACACTATGAATTGCTGCTGCTTACTATGTATTTAATATTGCAATTTTTCCATCTTGTTGCAACTTAAAAGGTTTTGATTCTGATTGTATTGTGTATCTATTGTTTTGACAATAAATTACTCCCTGATGTTATTTCAACCAAACAGGTAACTGTTGCATACAACAAGGACTCCAGCCCAATAAAGTTGAATTTGGGTGTTGGTGCTTATCGAACAGAGGTATGTTTCTCTTATCTGACATTGTTGAACTGTTTTTCTACTCATGCATGGGAATGGGCACACACTTCATAAGTATGCATGCTGTCACACACAGAGGCACTGTACAAGAATGTGGGTTTTCTTGTGCTCTTGCACAAAATATGCTTTATTTACCTCTGATATAAAAGGCTGCTGGATTGGCCTGTTTGCATTACAGGAAGGAAAACCTCTTGTTCTGAATGTAGTTAGACGAGCTGAGCAGCTGCTAGTAAATGACCCGTAAGCAATTAAATCATAGTTTATGCTATTTCTTTCTTCATATATATTAGTGACCGAGTTCTAATTTTTGTGATGTTCAGGTCTCGTGTTAAGGAGTATCTTCCCATTACTGGATTAGCGGATTTCAATAAATTGAGTGCCAAACTAATTTTTGGTGCTGACAGGTACAAATTTAACAAAATGTGAGGTTAATTTATTAGAGGTGTGTTCAAAACTATTGAGAGATTCGGCATGAATTCCATACTATGTTGAATACAGAATATGAAACTTTGCAATGTTTCTTTTACAGATCTCTGGATTCTTATGAAATGAAGGATTAAAGTTTAGACAGAGAGAAAAATTCTTATTCTGAAAATAACTTGTTTAACCTTTTTAATTATGATGTAAAACTGTAGCTCATCCAAGAACAGAATCAGATGACCTATTTTCAATGTTGTGATCTTTAAGCAATGATATAATTTATTGTGACAGAATAAAAGACTTCAAGTCCTTCTGTTTGATTGAAAGATTTTCAATGATTGTCTTGTTAAAATGAACTTACGAATTACTTAAGAAGTGAACAACTTTAAAAGTCCATTTCTATAATGAAATTTCCTGTACTATGGTAGATGCTTCATTGCTTCTGATATGGAATTCTCTATTATTTACTTGTCTTTAGAAGAAAAAAAAACTTTTCTTGGATATTTTCATTGTTCAATCCTTTAATGTGGCTTAGCCTGTTTCCCATGTAATTTACTTTGCATTTTTTGGTAGTTTATATTTGTGGTTTTTACTGAATACAATATTCTGCTTGCTTTGAAAATAGCCCTGCTATTCAAGAAAACAGGGTAGCTACTGTCCAGTGCTTATCTGGTACTGGCTCTCTGAGGGTTGGAGCTGAGTTTCTGGCAAAACATTACCACCAAGTAAACAACTAATCCTTTTTAGTTTGTTGCCTTTGTAAGATGATGATTTGAAGGATAATTTTGATTTCACCATCCACCTTGCTTGCAGAATTCAATATACATTCCACAACCAACATGGGGAAACCATCCCAAAGTGTTCACTATGGCGGGGTTGTCTCCGAAGTATTATCGCTATTATGATCCAGAAACACGTGGACTGAACTTTCAAGGTTTGGATTCTTCTTCGTTTGTCTTTGTTTGATTAGCCACAATGGTATCTTAGCAGTTGGCATGGAATATGGATTCGTTAAGTTGAATAATCCATTTGTTTGAAAATTATTATTAAACAAAACATCTTATAGTTTTATATGAAATGTAGTCTCATACTCTCATCTTCTTATCAACTATTTCCTATTTGTTATTTCTAGATTCATTTTATATTTGTTAGTTTTTCCATAATTTTCTTTTCTACTATGTAGCATTTTTTCTGGAGTCCAATGATTCCATCTAAACTTCTATGGAACTAGTTTCATGTGCTGATATGTCTAAGTATATGGGAACAGGCCTGCTTGAGGACCTCAGTTCTGCCCCATCAGGAGCAATAGTGCTTCTTCATGCATGTGCTCATAACCCAACTGGTGTTGATCCTACCGTTGAACAGTGGGAGCAGATCAGACAACTGATAAGATCAAAGGGGTTGTTACCATTCTTTGACAGCGCATATCAGGTAAATGTGATTGCACCAAAGTACAAAGATTTTTCCCCCAATAATGATGCAATTTGTTGCAAGAAAAAAAGCAAGTGAAGGCAAAGGAGGATTGTCATTGGAGGCAAAGGCCCCAACAAGGCACAAGCACAAAAGTCTTCCGGAATTAAGGCTTTGTTTGGATAAGCTTTTGCCTTTGGGCTGTCGGAAACAAAAATAAGCCAAAAACATTTTTAAAATTGCTTTTAAAAGTGAAGGCAAAGTTGCTTTTAAAACACAATAATCTAATGCCAAAACACTTTTAAGCCCCAAAACACAAAGCTTTGGGGCTTGGGCTTTGAAAGCACAAATCTTGAAGCTTATCCAAATGCAACCTAAACTAATGCAGAGATGTTGCTGCTAGCCCACTTTAACTATCCCATGATGTGTTAAACAAAAGAAATCATCATGCTGATCCAACCAACAATAAGAAACAAACTTGAACCCTGACTTGCTGCTCCTAATTTCACCTCTGTTTTAAACTTTTATTATCCACAACTTAAACCACTCTTCATATCAACATCCTCTGGAAGTGGAAAATACTGTTCCTACAGCTTTTGGCCTTGAACTTGTTACTTTCCCTTTCCCTTTCCCTTTCCCTTTCCCTCGGGGTTCCTTTTTCTCTTACTTTAGATGGATCATTCTCACTTCTCAGTGGCAACAACTTCTTGTTGTACCCCAATATTGCATGGACTCTGGAAGTCTGCCTTGGTGAACCCAAAAAAAGTAGTATTCATGGATACATCTCATATAAATAATATTTTATTTATTAAATATTACATTTTTTTATATTATTCTTGAAATTCATAGAACTATTTAAGCATAACAGCTTAAATAGTTAATTTAAAATTAACAAGTTAAATTCAGAGCGTTTGTCTATTTGTCACGTGGCAACACTAGTGATTTTTTATTGTTTTCCTAATTAGAAAAGATTCAATAAACAAAAGGTCAGAAGTTCTGTGTAAATTGGGAAAATACAAATACCATGATCTCCTACTGGACAGTTTAAATGGTCGGACTACTTTTACATGGAGGCATTTAAAGTGCAGATTCATAGTTTCGGAGAGCCAATGTGATAGGCATTTTGGTGAAAATGCCTGATTCTCACTAACACAAGTTGACTTGTCGCACATGTCAACTCGTGAGTCCCCTCCAAAGGTGGGGTATCCATGCAGCAGCACTTTTGCACCCACTCCATCCAGTTCAAAGGAGGTCCCCTCCAACCATGACCTCCCCATCAGCAAATTTCCCATGTTTTCTTTGATTTCCACCTAACCTAGTATCTTGCTTCCAGCTTATGGAAGAAAGTGGTTCTATGCTGATTTCTTTTTTTTTTTTTTCTTTGATATATTCTGAAGGGCTACACAATGGGGGGTAGCCCATCCCCCAACCCATAGCCCCCTCAACCCAGGTGCAGGCGGGATTCGATCCCATGTCTCTGCTACAACCAGCAGGAGACCTTACCAACCAGCTGGTTGGCACCTTGCAGTTCCATGCTGATTTCTTCATCCAAAGAACAGTCATATCCTTTCACTAACCTTTACAGTGTTGTCCTTCCGAAACATTAATACTGTCTATGGCCTTGTGAACAATGCTGCATATGATCTGCATGGTCTTAGTCTGGGTATTCTTAGTCCTCCACTCTGGATCAACAAACTTCAGGTCCAGGAGTCCTTGAGATTCCACAATCTTGGGTTTCCTTCATTAAATCAAAGACAGTCAAACTTTCTCACATAAACACACCAGCGGGGCTGGCTCCCCCTTAATGCAACAAGAGATCCACCAAAAGTGAGGATGTGACATCCGAGGATAGCATTGCTATCCTATTCCTTTTTGTTGTTGAAGAGTGGTTGGTATCATAACCACTACTAAGTGTCCTTGGAGATTGCAGAATCCTTTTCCAATCTTGATCTCCTTCCACTTCACTTCCAAGTTGCCCAATGCATGGTGAAGGTTAGGCTTTTTCTTTTTGATTTTCAAGTTAGCCTAGGCTTTTGCATAGCAAAAAGATGATTAAATTCTGAAATTTATGTCCAGAAAAGGCCAAATAGTTTTGATTTTTAATATTTATGTGACACATTATTCCAACTTTGTCATATTCAGGTATTAACTGATGTATTCTATTGACAACTTAGGGTTTTGCAAGTGGAAGTTTAGATGCGGATGCACAGTCTGTTCGGATATTTGTTGCAGATGGTGGTGAATGCCTTGCAGCTCAGAGTTACGCAAAGAACATGGGACTTTATGGGGAGCGTGTTGGTGCCTTAAGCATTGTAAGACACTAAAAAGACCTCCTTTGAAGTGCCTAATGCTGAAAAATAAACATAATTGAGACCTAGTAGAACTATATACTGCAGTGAAGAGTTGACCTTTATCAAAGCTAGTTGTAACTTGAGGGAAATCAAAAGCATATTGTTATATTTTTTTTGGGCCCAAAATTTCGTTCTGTTTGTTTTTATTTCATTAAAATGAAACTTCACCCTGCCTACCAAGGTTGGCATCAGGCCAAATGAGTACAATTCCAGCTCCAATACACATGGTTCTCAACACAAGCAACTATTAAGCTATTACAAATGGCTGCCTGGCCCTGGACACCCCTACTCCAGCTGTTCCCTTACAACCCCTGCCCTTGCTAAAGAATCTGCCAAAGCATTTGCACTTCTAGACACCCATTTGAATGAGTTATTCAAGTTGCTGCCTAATGGTTTGAATTTCCAGGGAATCTCCTTTTGTATTCTCATCCTACAGATTATAGTTTGATAGTTTCCCACCACCACATGCTTCATACCCTTCATGCTCATCAGCTTTAAGCCTTGAATTTAAGACTGGCAGTTCAGCCCATAAAGAATTGCCATGTCCAATTGGCCGAGAAAGATTAAGTAGAATGTTGCCATATGGTTCCTTATCACATCCCTAACTCCTTTTATTTGTTTTTCATTCATTTCTTTTCCTTCTCTAGCATAATGATACTCCATCTCATTGATTCTCCTGTATCTATAATGTTATGCAAATTTTTCGTTACAGGTGTGCAGGACAGCAGATGTTGCAAGTAGGGTTGAGAGCCAGCTGAAACTTGTGATCAGGCCCATGTACTCCAACCCACCTATTCATGGTGCATCCATTGTGGCCACCATCCTCAAGGACAGGTACAAAGTTGATTCAGGAAGGTCTATGCAATATGACTAAATCAATTTGAAATCTGGAAAAGAGTAGAAATTCAAGTTAAATGTACAAAAATGGTCTGTATGAAAACTGGTTAATATGAATACAAAAACTGGTTAATATTGGGAAAATGATCAAATTGATGTTAGTGAATTACTAGAAGTAAGGGTTTCACTTTCTCAATATGAAGTGAAGCAATAACAAAACGAAGATGATCGACTAATCTACAAGAAAAGAATGGTTAGCATGCTCATCAGAGAATCTGTATCTACTTAGAAAATATAGTTATCTAGTTTATATAATTTCTTGGTTTAACTCAATACAAAGTACATAAATATACATATATGACCATTGATTGTAATGCTTATTTTCTTGTTTATGGAGTAGATCATGACTTATAAGTGTTCCTTAATTCTGATTATATTTTGTCTGCAGGGATATGTATAATGAATGGACTATTGAGTTAAAAGCCATGGCTGATCGGATTATTAGCATGCGCCAACAACTCTTCGATGCTTTACGTGATAGAGGTAAGCTGATATTTAGATTCTTTTGTTCTTTTTGAGGATCACCTTTTTTCATTTACTTGTTTTAGTTGTATAGTTGGTCTATCCATTAGTATTACCTGTATAATTGTTACTTTTTGAGGATTATTAGAATGCATCATTAGCATCACTTCTACAACTGATATCTACCCACTATTATGTTTTCCCTTTTTGGTTACTAAGGTTTGATCTTGTCGTGTGGCCCTATGAAATCACTTTTTTCCATTTATTTGTTTAGTGTGTACTACATTTAATGTTGCTGCTGAAACCGATATATGCTAACATTGAGTCCATGTCTTGTTTTTCTGCTTTTCTGTTGATAAAGTTTAAGGTTGGCATGTGGCCCTTGGTATTGGAATTGGAACACCTAACCATCAGAATTTCTGGGGCCCCTTCTAAAAGATGTGGATGTTTATGGGAGGCGTTACTTTTTATTAAATTTCTAGTCACCTATGAAAGCAAAGAGATAGTCTCTCTTTTATTGCAAGGCAATTTCTGGAATTAAAAGAAAATGGGAAAAAATGAAGTGAGATTAGTTGTTGAGGATCTCTAACACAACCAAATTGAAGCAGTGTTTTAGAAGGCTTGGGAGGCATACACCTGGAGGCACACCTCCAGGCGAGGTGCCTCAAAAACGCCCTGAGGCGTATGCTAGAGGCATTGATGCCTCTGAGGCATATGCCTCAGGTTCAAGAGTCGTACACTTCATACACCTTTTGCATGAGGTGTGTCACACTCTAGCTCGCTCGCTTGCCTCCGCTTCAACAAGACCCCCCTTCTAGTGTTATGCATATTCATTCTTCTTAATATAAAATATTTTTATTAAAAAAAAAGAGAAAGATGAGATCCTCCTTCCTCTTCTTCATCCTCTCCCTCCTTCCTCCTCATCCCCTTCCTCTTAGGGAGGCTTATGCCTCCTTGTGTTTGGGAGGCTTACGTCTCTTACGTGAACTACGCCTCATGCCTCCATGTTTTGAAACATTGAATTGAAGTAGTAAACTGTGGTGAAATACCAAATAAATAAACATGAAGAAAGCATGGTGATTGTTTGCCCATTAGATTTGGATATAATGTAATATTTGCATTCCCACCTCGCATGAATTTTGAGAGACACATGAATGCAGAGATGTTTGTCACCAATCTGAATTTCAGGCATGGTTCTTAGTCTGGAATTCCACTGTGGAATAATAAAAATGTATACAAGCACTATATGCATTGAAAGAGATTTCCAAATCAAGTTCTTATGTTGAATGTGTTCTGCTGTTTTGTTTGCAGGTACACCCGGTGACTGGAGTCACATCATCAAGCAGATTGGAATGTTTACTTTCACAGGGTTGAACACAGAACAGGTTGCCTTCATGACTAAAGAATACCACATCTACATGACATCCGACGGGTAAGAATACCACATAGTACTATGTTTGGATCCTATTTTATTTAGACAAATTGATGATACACAGTTATCATCTGACCCTAATTTGCTTCTTAAATTCTAGCCTTCTTGACCCTTGCGCATCTCAAATTTCCTTTCAATCAGTGCTGATGACAAAATCATTGTGTACATCTGGCTGTTATATCAAAGTTTGATGAACTGCCGACCCATCAAAATAAAATGTTCAGATAATATAATCTACCAAAATATTATTTTACTAAGATACATGGAAAGTTGTATGCAACTCGTTTACAATTCAAAGAACAAAACAAGGTTTGGCGTAACAGTATAGATACTTAAGATGAACTTTTGTATCCGATACTGCAGTCAAGGGCTTCATATTATGATATAATGCATATAGATTTAAGTGTGCGTATATTTTCTGTTTTTCCCTTATCATAGTATGGTAATCTCTGCTTGCTCTGTTATGCAGGAGAATTAGCATGGCAGGTCTAAGCTCGAGGACAGTTCCTCATCTCGCAGATGCCATTCATGCGGCTGTTACTCGCATTGTCTAATTTTGTCTATGACCTCTTTTGTTGGTTTATTCTGCTATATGGAAGAATTGCTTTTCTGCTTTTTAAACCTTAGCTGTTGTAATAATCATATCACTTCATTGAGTAGTGATTACACTGAAATATTTCATTCAAGCTAGCCTGAGGCTGGAAACTCTCGGCTGGGGCCGGGGAATTTTGGACTAATTTTTGTCAAAACTTTATATTTGTTTGTTGCCATGCTTTTAGTCACTGATGCATGAGTTTTGAGAAACTTGAATCATTCCAATTTTCTAAACATGGGCTATCTATGTATTGACACGTCTTAGTTGGATCCATTAGCACTTCATATCATATTGTATTTCTGAAATTTCCATTAGTACAGTTGCCATGGGTTATTCAGTCTAGGTTTTTGATGACTCCGTTGCATAGCTTTTACTTTTGCATTTGGCTAAAGAGCATAGACAAGACTCTCTCGCAATCCATAGATTCCGCAACCATTTTTTGCACTTCCATGAATGGATTTTCTTAGCCTTCTGACTTGTTATAATCTGGGAGGCAACCCCCTTCAACTGCCAAAACAAGAATGGAATGTATGCTTGGGAGAGAAAGACAGTTGGATACGCACATTTTGATTCGAAGTGATACTAAATGTATATAGCTTAGGTTGTGAACAAGAAGATTAGATTTTAGGTGTACTTGTTATTATCAACAGAACAGTGATTTATCAATAACCAGCCAAAGGTATATATATACACACGGGAAACATGTTTAGGCGTTCCCACCCATAATCCATTCGTCTCTCCATTTCTCAGTTTATCTAACATTGGAATCTCCCCAGCTGCTTTTTCAGTTACAATCAAGCGGTAGAAAATCAACAGAAAACTTGTTCCAGAACTTCTTTCAAGTTTTCTGTCATTTCACACTGCACAAAACCAGATTGGCAGGGGTACTGCTGTCCCAGTTGTTTTATGGACGAAAGTTGGAGTTGGAACCTAAATTTGGACCCAAGGAGACATCCTTCTTAAAGTAAACCAACTAGCCAGCGGATCAATCTGTTGACAATGACAGAAATCTCAGAGATATAAGATTTACCATCGGAAACTCTTGAGTCTTCATTCCTACCAGATTTATGCCGGTAATGGCTGAAAAAATAAAGCTCTTCTCAAACCATGGAAATAGATCCTTCTTTGGTTATGGGGTACAGTTTAAATAAGACTGGAGATAGATCAGACTTAACAAAATAAATGCTGTAAAGAAGGGAAGGGAATATCAAAAACAACAATTCCTGTCTATTTCTATTTGATGAAACCCATGTTTCGTGCAATCCAGGCAAGCCGATATGAACTAGATGAACAGCCATGTAACCTGGGTGGTCCAACTTATATTAATTTAAACTCAGCTGACTGTAAGATTACAACTCGGTCAATCAGAAAGGAAACTAAGAAATTCATGAAAGTTATTTAAAACCTACCTGAAGTCATTCAGTGCAAAAACTATTCATGATTTTCAATCCTTTATCTAGAAAATTGAGAGTCGTTGCAGCAAGGTCATCAAAAATTGATTCTGGTAAGCTTGTCATTGCAGCTATATATACAGAACACTTCAATATCGACCCTAGACTAAGAGCACACATCACCTCAAATCAATCCGTAAATCATGGGATACCCCAACTAAAAACAGTCAAATAAACTACACAAAAACAGGATAACAAAAAGGAAAAGAATGGTTCAGTACAGTTGAGACTATGATGAATAAATTTCAATCTCAACATTCCTCACTCAGACTTTTCGGACTCCAATGGAAGACCTAGCTCTTCTGGCACGGCCTCGATAGGCTTCGGCATGTTTTTCGCAGTAGTCTTGCTGATGGGTATGCTCTTCTCGAGTTGTACGAAGTCGCCAACCTTGAATCGGTTATCTGGGTCGTGAGATTGGTACTTCTTCTTCTTCCTGACCCTCCACTTGTATTTTGGGTGGGGCGCAAGCCGCACTACCTCGACTGAAACTGTCTTGTCATTGGTGACACAGACTACTCTCCCTTGCAACGATTTCATGGCTCAAACTGAAGGGAGAGAAGAAGGCGGAGATGGCTTTGATGTTGAGAAGAACGAAGAGGGTTTGTTGAGCAGATGAACTGGTGTGGATCCATTAAGGAATGGAGAGCTTATCTTCAGAGAGTTCAATGGAGGAAGCTGAAGAAGGGAGGATGGATAAGTTAACACCATTGTGTATTTGTGTTTGGAGACTGGAGAGGGAGCGAGGAGGAGCTCCTCTGTTTCTCTTTTTATCTTTTGTGGATGAGAGTGGTGTGGGATTTATTAATGCGGGTGGGCCGTGGGCATGACAACTGATCAGTGGATCTTAGTAACTTTGTAAGATGTTCGAATTGACCCACAACTGGGGCCCCGTCATCAACCCGGTCTGCATATAAAGGATCCGAGTTGGATTGGGAGTGTGGACTTGAAGCGAGCCTTATAACCCGATTATTTGTTAAAGAAATGGGTCAACGTTTAAAACACACAGTTACACACCCTCTTCTGTTTGGGTTCGGGCTGCCATTTCTCAGACTCAGGCCACTCAATAAACGAAATGGTTCATGAACTTTTCTAATCGGATCCATAAGGTTAATTGTATAATGTTTGGTTTGAAAAATTAGTAATTTTAAAGAAAGTCAGTTGAATAAACCTGCTGAAAAAGGTGAATAATATCTATTAATGTACTTTCTTATAAATTTAAGAAATAAAATGGTGTATTTTATTTATTGCATATATATGTAGAAAATATTAGAATATGCTGTATATGCATATTTATAAATATAAAATAATTTAATTTTATAAAAATATATTTGAAAGTAAGGGACCCTATATTTTGACATTGTATTATTTTGAATTGCATATAACATTGTATTACAATTGAGAACTAAATTTTAAAAGATGGCGTTTCCACACAGTTAAAATTCATTGTCATTAGACTTGAAAAGTTGGTCAATTGAATTTCCTCATCAGGCCATCTACCAGACTACCAATAGGCTAAGGAATAGTCGAATACGGTTAGTCATTTTCAGCCAGGGCCAGGTTTGGACCCAAGCTCACATCAGGCCCGCAAATTTTAGGGGCTGAACCTGGGCCTAATACTTCAGGCCCAGCCCAGCCTGCATTTATTTATATATATTTTATATATATGTTATTTTATGTTATATTTTACTTTTAATATATAAATATCACGGAGAAGTACGGACAGACCTATTGCAGAATTACAAATCTACAACATTTCAAAAGACAATTACCCCCATCCTATGCATCAATGCCCGTTGGATTATTATCATTATATCCATATTATATAACATAAAATAAATTTCTACGTGAGAATTCCTTGAAGTTGGATTAGATTACTATAATACCCTTCGTCCATTATCAAATGGCCCCTAACACTTATTGGCAAAAAGAGTTGGGTACAAACTCATGAGAGGTTTGATTTTGTCTTGTAGTGTATGTTTTAGGGCGATGAATCAGAGAGGCATGAAAATTCATCCCAAACTAACAATCAAGAAGTAAAGAAAGAATAAATTAAAGGATCATGAGATGAGGAAAAGGATAGGGTTATCCGGCTACAGCCAACGTGTAACCACTTTAGTGGGTTTCCAATACCATCCATCTCCAAAGAAGATCCGGTTTTCCACCTGGCAAAACCCAGAAGATCCAGGCAAAGTATCAATTTTTCAAAATCTAAGCATACAAAACCATGCAAACAAGCAATCAAGGAAACTCATTTGTGCAGCATCAAAGGCAATGGCGTCTCTAGCAACCTTGGCCGCCGTACAACCCGTCGCTGTTAAGGGCCTCGGCGGAAGCTCCCTTACCGGGACCAAGCTCTCCGTCAAGCCATCTCGCCGCACCCTGGCAAGGACGAGCATTAGGTAACAACCCATTCAAAACCCAGTTGGTCAATCTTCCGACCGAGATCTTGTTCTGCAATTAAAACCAGATTTGATGCGCAGCGTCTCAACTGTTATATTGTATTCTACTTGAAAAGCAGGTCCGGCGCAGTGGTGGCGAAGTACGGCGACAAGAGTGTCTACTTCGATTTGGAGGATTTGGGCAACACTACCGGGCAGTGGGATTTGTACGGCTCCGACGCCCCCTCACCATACAACCCCATTCAGGTTTTGCACACCTTCTCTATCCGCCATATCCCTTCTTCTGCTGGGGCTTCCAACAAACAGAAAGGGAACCCATTCGCATAGTTCTCAATCCATCTGATCCAACCATGCTGCACTCCTGGTGCACATGGAGATGGGGTTGGACCCATTAGGCCATTATTTGTGTGCAGATCATACTCCCACTCCCAGCCATCTGCTGGTCATTTGGCTGCTTTAGTGCTTATGCATTCATCATCTTTGTATTAATGTCTGTGTTTGACACTACACTTAAAACAGTTTTCATGGATTATTCTCAAATATATAATTCTACTAATAAACCCTTCTTTTTTATGGAAATGCAGAGCAAGTTCTTTGAGACATTTGCTGCTCCTTTCACCAAGAGAGGATTGTTGCTCAAGTTCTTAATTTTGGGAGGTGGCTCCACCCTTGCTTACCTCAGTGCCACAGCTTCAGGGGACATACTACCCATCAAGAAGGGCCCACAACTACCACCTAAGCTCGGACCACGTGGCAAGATTTAAACTATTCACTGACCCCACTTTATTTTGTTGATATTTATCTTCTTTTGTTCGGAATGTAGTATTCTTAAGCCTTCTCAAGACCAACCTCAGTGCTTGTTATTCAGAACCAGTGAAATTATACTATTATTATTGGGGAGGGACTTCAATTCTTATATTTAGTTTATACTTTACATAATTACATGTCGTCCATTCTTCTTTGTCAGCTCGAAATAGCAACCAACAGTCACGATGATTAGTTTTCTCTCATTGTTACAGTGTTAGTCAAACAACAGGTAAAAATTGAAGTGAGATGAAAATTTGGGAAACAAAGAAAAAAAAAAACTGAAAATACATGTTATCTGTGATAAGAAGCAGACTCAGGCCACTCAATAGTCACACTTCCCTAACTACAATTGAAACAAGACAGATTCCAGTTGTAGTTGAAAAGCTCCTTTTGGTTTTGAGTCTAACCATTTACATTTGGAATTCCAAGCTCCCAACTCTTTTCTCTCTCACATCTTCTCTCCTATATTTCTCTACCTTCTTCTTATCTCTCATTTCCTCCTTTTCTTTGTCTTCTTTATCTATGTTTATTTTTAGTGACGAGCTGTTGGGCTTTTTAAGGCACCCAAGGACTCAAGGTAGGAATGTTTCTTTGGTAAAATGTTGGCAGGTTTGCTCCACTTTGCATTGTCTTCTGTCAAGTACTCCTCTAGATTTTCAGATGAATCGTTCGTTTGTTCAGATTCTATTGGGTCCAGATGCCAACCCATGAAATCCGATAGTGTCATTGAAACGGGTGCTTCCCTAGAATTCAATTTCTCCATCTCTTCCCCGGGGCTTGAGAACTGCACCGGCGTCCCTGGTGTTGTCTCTGTTGCAGATTTTCTGTTTGACTCTATTAGTGATGGATTCCGGGCGACTGAATCTGCGTAGAGAACATCTTCAATTCGGGACATGATTGTATATGCCAAACTTTCCAGTATCCTTGAGTAGCTCTCTAGAACTGACTGTCCCACATCCTGTAATTTCAACAACAGTGCTTTGAGCTCGTATCGAATTGGGAAACAGGAAAAAGGAAAAGTTATAATCTTTCGATCTTCAATCCTTACCTTGTTGTATTGGATCTTGCTTATGTCAAGTGTGGATTGTGGGATGCCTGGGAATCTCTGCTTAAGTAGGATTAAGATACTCTCTGCTCTCTCCTCAAAGAGCTCCCTCTTCTCTAAGCTCACTGCTGAACTCCAAGAAGATTTTCCATCTTTGTTCATCTTCCTCTTCCATATTACAATCGATGCCTCAATCCTGTCCTTCAGGTCAAGAATCTTGTGCTCTGTTGACAGGTCCAAAGTCGAGAGGAACTGCACAGGATCAAAGTATTCGACTGTAATACTTCGATAAATCGAGTCACCAAGGCTTGCTCTCCCATTCTAAATGTAAATGAGAAAGACAAATCAGTGAAGTTATTAGAGTTCTGCAGGAAAAAGTTTATATGAACTTTCTCCATGTTTTACCTTGGGAAGAGATTCGATGTAGTTCTCGGGGACTCCCATTTCTGCTATAACCTGAGCATTTATAGCCATTGCCGCTTTTAACACTTGGTTCACAGACTCCTTCTGAGATTGCAACCATTTTCTTGTTGCCTCAGAGAGCCCATTTGGGGGGACCCTAACAGTTGGCAGCCACCATTTGTCATCTTTCCTCACGCTGCTTCCTTTCTCAGCGTCGGAAGCATCTCTGGACACATACCAGAACTCATTCTGGTCTTTGAAATTATCTAGATACTCCTGTTCATTTAAGCCCAACGTAAGATGCAAACAAAAAACAATTTAATCCATATGGAAAGGTTTTACTCAAAAACCAGAACTCAAATACTTACAATAAGCATGGCATCCAGCTTGCGCAGGGCAGGAATATTCATAAGTAGATCGGTTCGTTGGCGAGTCACCATTATCTATTGAATCAAGAAAATCTTGAGGCAGTGAGATGGAAGGTTTACATCTATTATGATATCATATAAGAGAGAGAGAGAGAGAGAGAGAGAGACCTCCATGGTCGTTCCATCCTTGGCTTTCTGTTGGGAAGGAACAAATTCAACAATGTGATCAGTGACAGATAAAAGCCAACCAATTTCTCTTCTCCACCTTGCTTTCCTCTCAGCAGACATGGGTTCCAATCGCCATTGCTCCCCAAAGACAGAAGCTGCATAAAATTAGGAAAAAATAGAAAAAGAAGAAAAAAGAATTAGCAAGCAATTAGAATTGCCATAATTGGATCGGATGCCATTTTGAAGCAAGAAATCCTAAGGCTATGATGCCCCAATCTCAAATAAATAAAGAGATTTTGGATTTTCTGCATGATTTTTGCCAAACTAGAATCAAATGGGTCTAGTACCATGAAGAAACAGTCAACCAATGAACCATCAGCCTGTCACAAACTTTAGGCTCATTAAGTTATATCCAAGAGCTGTTAAGTATTCTCCTGAAAACAAATAAAGTTTTGCTTTATCTGGAAAAAAAATATTAAAGCACCTGCAAGGTTGGTAATGGCATTGGACAAAGCCAGGGCTGAAGAAACACCTTTCCCTCCTCCTGACATATCTTCACCCAATAGAAGCTTGGCAAACCTTTCTTTCATTAACTCCGTATCTGAAATAAACCCACCAAAAAGAAGAAAATTTTTAATGAAGTTCTAAAATGGTTTACAGGATTTGATTAATCTTTGAAACAAAGGGTCAAGAAACTCAGTGTCACCACTAGAGATATGAAACTAATGGAAAAATTTGGATTCAATTGTCAACTGTTCATTTCAGAAATAGGGTTGGCTGTGGATTTGATGCACAGCACATGGGTTCACAAAATCTATGGAGATTGGAGGATAAATCCTAAATTCATAATTGACTTAAACCAGATTTGAGTTGCACATATAATTTTATCAATTAAACCATAAAATGTTATGCTGTTAAAATGTAAAAATTATGGTATCAAGCTGCTACTTCTCATGTTCTTAGCTAATGATATTGGTAGAAATATGAGAATTCCTGAACTTAGCATAATTTGTCCAAAATGGAACGTGATATTCAAAGGTCAAGCATAGCGCAAGGAGAATGGAGAAACAAAATACTGTAACTTGCCTGAGGGAACCTTGTCTTTGCTTTGGGGGGGAGTTGCACCTCCTTCCTTACTCAAGCGTGACTTGGGCTCAGTGGAGCGACTAAGTGCGGATCCAATCTGTTGGCGTCCCAACGGGCAATTCGGATTTCTTGATCCCTGACTTCTAAACTGTAGTTTCTCATCCATGGATCCACCATTGGTACTTTCAAGGATCATGCTATGTGTCTGACGTCCTGAATCCTCAACCAGTCCTCGGAAGTTAAAGGACTGTGACCTTTGAATGGTTAGGTCCCGCTTAAGAGTTCGAATCATTGTATATACTCAAGCAATGGCTTTAGGGAAAGAACAAGGAACAGGAGAACATAAAAGCATTCTCAGTCAAGCTCAACAGAGATAATAACAGAAATATTACAACCTATTGGTGTTGGTGGAGAGAACTATTGTTATCATCAATTTAGAAAAGAAATGGAGAAAGAGGAGAAACCTGTCTCCCTAGTGTGGAGCTAGATTTGAAGGAAAACTAGAACAGGAGACTAGCTTTCTCTTCTTTTTCCTTGAGTTGGACAATTATGTTCAACTCTGTAGAGATGTTGTTTCAATGGGTTTTTCTTGTTCTCTTGTGCCCAAGGAACGTGGGGTGCATGTTTTGACAAAGAAAAGGAGAGGTGGTTTGCGAGAGGTGGTGAATAAACGAGGGTGATTATTTCTGTTTGGTTCATTTTAAGGGTGTGGAGAGGATTGAACGGTTGAGCTTTTGCTTTTAAGGGTCAAAGCTTGCAGAAAGCCCGGGAAGTCATGAAAGGAAAACCAACTCTCTCTCTCTCTCTCTCTTTCAAATGTATAAAAATAGCAGCTGCTAATTTGGGCGGGTAAATTATAAGCTAAAAAGAGCAACCAAACAATTTACAGAGAGGAAAGGAAGCAAAAAGAGCAAAAGCTAAAGAAAAATAAATAACAGAGTTCAACTACTTGCATGCATTAAACCCAGATCTCAACCGGTGATGATGTTAAAATGTGATTACTTCATAAAATATACCTTTACTATTAACAAGGTGGACTTTATCAATCATGTCTTTTATTATACAGGGGATACACCATAGATTTTGCCTGAAGAAACTTCAAAATTCAAGTTTTTTTTTTCTGAAAATTATAAAATTCTTCATTCTCTCCTTCTGAAAATAGTCCTTGATCTCACAAAGTCACAAGTCATAACCTCCCTTTCTTTCATCTCCATGATTAAACTACCCTTGAACAAAATCCATTAGAATTCTTCATTCTTTCTACTACAAAATCTCACCATGATGTGGAAACTGAAAACCACTGTTTATTATGGTTTCTTTTTACCAAATCTCTATTTTGTTAAAAGTATTTACTAGAGTGTATTGGCTACATTTGGGGAGAGTGAAAATATAAATATGTTCAACCTGGATAAAATGGGCTGAGCAAAAAAGGAGTGTCAACAAGTTCTCATTGTGTTAGAGATTGGAGTTGTTGGTCTATTTTTCTATCAGCGGCAGGCCGGGGAAGATAGATAGCGTGACACTAGCAAAACAAATAATGTGAAGTCATTGGGCAAAAACAGTTGGATTGAAACGCTCAAAAACTCAGCTACGGCTGTTGGACTAGCCGTCGGTTATGATCCACGGCCCTCCCTCCATGTATTTCTGGCCCCTGACCTAAGGTGGGGCTACAGAGGGCGGATTCAGTCCTCACAAAATTGTGTTTACACCATTTTCATAGCCATTTTCAGCCGTGCATTGGGAATATCTTTATACTTGTATCTTTTTAATTATTGGGAAGCTGAGCACAATTTTAAAAAACAGTGCTTAAAAAACAATTTTAAGCACCAAATCCGATTTCGGGACTACAACAAATCAACAATGCATCAAATCCGAACTCGAATTCAGTCCTTAAAAAACAGTGCTCACACCATACTCACAGCCACTTGCGGCTGTGTGTTGGCAATATCCCATCAGATCCAGGGCTATTCCCATGGGTGTAGCTGATTTGTCCGCAGATTGAAACTTTTTTTTTATTTTTTTTAACTTGCCTTCTATTTTCATTTATTTTTTTGTTAGTACTGGAGAAATCGACTTGGGTGCTCACAAGACTGTGCTCACACTGTTCGCAATCACTTGCAGCATTGCATTGAGAATATTTCTCCATGAAACTGATCTCAGTGTTGGAAGCTTTGTGCCCTATTTTCTTAGGATTTTGATGGTAGTCAAGTATTTGGTGGACAATGCATGATGCCTTCCTTAAAACTACAACTTTGGAGTGAACTTTGAATATCAAGTCCAGGGGATATATATTAAAACAAGGAAGTCTGGAAATCTTTTCATTTTTTTTAATCCATGTCATTTTTTAAACTACCAATTAGAAATCCTATTTTCCCACAAAAATCCTCTCTCTCTCTCTCTCTCTCTCCAATAACCAAAATAATCAAAAATCTTAAAATTTCTTCTAAACAACCTCCCCCACTATCCCCAACTTTTTCCTAAATTATCTCTAATTTAGTAGAGAGTTTCTCTCATAAAAATAATCTCTAATTCTTATTTATCTTCTCCCCAACTTTTTATCTACATCTATTTAAAGAAAGTTTGAATTAAAAAATTTAAGAATTATTTAAATATTCTAACAAAATTATATAATAACTTTAAAATATTTATTAAAAAGACAAAAAATAAGTATAATCAATTTAATAATCTTCATATTATTAATAATTATATATTTTTCCAAAATTCATCACTCAATTATGTACAAACAATATAAATTATGCTTCTTTGGATTATTCAATCTAAATGTTATTCAAATAATAAAAATTTAACATTAAAAATAAAATATTACTTAAATATTTCAATAACTAAATATCTTAAATAACAAACTATTAAAATTAATATTTTAAATATTTACTGAATAACTTTCAATTATAATATATAGATTAAGATTTTAAATATTTAGTTAAATAACTAAATATTTTAAATAACGAAATATTTAACATAACTAGATCTTAAATACTTAAAATAAAAAAATCATGAATATTTTAAAAATTAAATAATGATATTATTTCAATAAATAAATAATATTGCAAATAACTAATTTCTTTTAGAAAATAACTTTCAAAAAAAATAATGTTTATTAATAAAAATTTTAAAACTTACTCTATATTTCTTATATATTTATATATACTGTAGAGAACATTGATGTGGGCCCCACAGCTGTGGTACCACTCT